GCTCATGAATTATTTAAAAAACCCACATATCAATACTGTAACACAGAAAACTGGGTATGGAGCATACAGAAATTATCTATACACTATCTTTCAATAAACCTAAAACCTCTAAAAAGATTGTTAAAAAATATCAAGTTCAAAGTAATTTTATTGTAATTGTGCTTAAGCACTTTTTCAAAAATAAGGCATCAGCCTTAAGGCATCAATGTTGATTTCAATCCTTTTTAAAGAAACAGGATTCTTATGCTTCTTTCCAAATAAACCTGATATTTATGTTAAACTTATCATGGCAAAATATATGGAAAATACTTGGATTTTGCTTGATGACTTCAGGGGTACTTCATATTTTAAAACAAAACATCCGTTAGTATATTTTACAACTTTTTTCCAAAACTTTAATCAAATGTTAAAAATGTGACACATTTCCTACAAAATTATTAATTTTTCCTTTATAAAATTAGTGCTTTGGATACATCATAATTTGTAGTGGGGGAATGATACAGTGCTCAATTTCTAGGCCAGCCACATGAGCTAACTAAACTTTTAAAATACAAAAGCATACATTTGCAATGAAAATGGTATAAAACCGTTACTATAAAATTTTTTGCTTTTTTAAATTCAAGATGCACACAATTTATTTCCAACCTATCACCCAGTTTTTAAGTGAGTGGCTAACTTTGGTCCTTTACATGTGACCTTATACCTAGAAATGCAAAGGGGGAAAGGTGTTAAACTGAGGTCAACCTTAAGGAGTTTGAAAGAGAGTTTTTATTATTTCCAAAGGTAAAAGGCTAGTATACTGTAGATGAAAGACTTGACTTTGCTTGTCCTAATTTGTGTGTGTGTGTGTGTGTGTGTGTGTGTCTGGGGTATCAGTTTTAATGATCTTTCATTTCTAGTATTAGTTGAGTCTTACTTTGCTTTTTTTTCTCTTTTGGTAAACTTATTTAATAAGCCTGACTTCATTTTAACCACATGGTATTGTACAGAGTCATCTGTTGAAACAGATTTTTATTTTTTGATTTCTTTAAAATGCGTCAGTAATTTTTTTTTTTTTTTGAGGGACCAGGGATCAAACTCAGGACCCTGCTCTTGCCAGGCAAGCGCTTATTCCACTGAGCTATCTCCCCAGCCCCCATGTCCTAATTCTAGAGAGTGAAGTACCCTACTATTCACAGGGAGAGAAAAAGCATGTCTGTAGCAGTTAATCACCACAAATGGTCAGCTTATGCTTTAAGCTAGCAAGAACCTGAGTACACAGGTGGCAGCAGCAAGATTTTGACTCCTTGGAGGTGTGCCACCTAGCTGACAACAAAAAGAGAAAGCACAAGGCTGACAGGTGTGAGGAGGGTGTGAATTTGTAATATGGAGAATAGAAGCAATAGAAGAGGAAGAAGTTTCCTTGTCTTGTCAGCCAAAATGTTAAAACTAACTGGGTCACTTTTTATAGCACAGCCAGGACTTATGTTTGATGTAATATTCTGGATTTGTGTATACATTAGGGAGGTGCTTCCTAAGAAATCCTTTCATAAACACTATATATATATATTTTTCTTTTAATTTTTTTAACAGACTTAATTTTATTTTTCTTGTGTAAAAACCCTTTGTGTTGTAGCTACCGCTGGAGCTTGAGTCCTCTGACAGAGACTCTGGTGTGGGTTTTCACGATGGTCGGTGAATTCCTGATAGGGAGACTTGGTGAACACAGTCTCTTTCCAGAGGTCAGGGGTCAGATTAACTGTAGTTCTTGGGAAATAGCATCAAAGGTAGCCTTAGAAAAGTTGCCCAAAGTAGCAGTGCAGCCCCTAGCAGAGGTGTAGCAATCATTAGTACCAGACATCAGCAGCAGCTTCTTGGGCACAGCAGCTGAGACAATGGCAGTGCCTCTGGGGGCAGGGATTAGATGCACCAACACAGAGCCACAGTGGCCCGTCACCTTACAAGGAACAGTGTGGGGCTTGCCGATCCTGTTTCCCCAGTAGCCATTCCTCACGGGGACAATGGAGAGCTTGGCCAGGATAATGGCCCCACGAATGGCAGTGGCTACTTCCTTGGAACACTCTACACCCAGGCCAACATGACCGTTGTAGTCCTCAGTGGCGACAAATGCCTTGAACCTGGTCCACTGGCCAGCACGAGTTTGCTTCTGCACAGGCATGATCTTCAGAACTTCATCCTTGAGGGATGTGCCCAGGAAAAATTCAATAATCTCAGACTCCTTGATGGGTAAGGGGAAGTAATTTTCCTCCAGGGACTTGATCTTCATGTCTCTGAGCAGAGGCCCGGCTCAGCTCCGTGACAGGAATCCACTCTTTGTCCCTGGCCCCGCCCCAGCCCCTGAGGTGCCTGGTGACCTAGAAGGCAGATGCCTTGGCTGCACCAGCATCATATGCCATTTGGTGTTTTCCCAGAGAAAGAAGCTATACATTTCTTTAAAATGAAACTGTTTTAAGAACAAATAACTTTTCAAAACTTACAAAAAATTTTCATGTTTTCAAGTCTTTTAAGACTTTTTTGCGGAGCCAGGGATTGAACTCAGGCCCTTGTGCTTGTCAGGGAAGCACTTATTCCACTGAGCCATCTGCCTGGCCCCAAAACTATTTTTAGTGCATTACGAACTTCAAACTATCTCCCCCTCCCTATTTACAAACTAGTGCATGCTTCCATAACTTCACTCATATATGAATGCATCTTTGCATTTTATAAAATGTGTATTTTTTTTAAATGTGTATTGATATTTGAGGCAAAGCTGTATGCTACACCAAAATTTTCAACCATTTCCACATTAAAAGGCATCTAGTATATTTCTTTTGGCTTTGCAACTGGCAATGCTGAAGTTTACAGTTTCCACACATACACTGTATACTACTCAACTTATGCTCACTTGCAAAAAGCTCAAAATTCTCACCAGTTCATTATAAACGTTTCCAGCTCACTCTGGTGTTCAATGCAAGTCACACTATTCTTATCAGTAATCTGTCTCCAATAGTAATCTGAAGGATCCATCTTTATTTTTGTAATTCATTTCTAAGGCAGGAGAGCTTGGCAGATGGCAAGCCCTGACTAGTAACCAAGACTGGCTTAGGACATCTCTACCAAGATCTCACTGGCTTAAACCAAATCCTGTAACTCTAACTGCAAAAGCATCTGGAAATAGTATATGGTCTTCTGTGTGCTTAAAAGAAATGGATGTACATTAATGACAATGCATGCTAAATGTCTTTACTTGTTTTTACTTTTGAAGGATACACTCTTGGACTAAACTTCAAGACTGGAATTTCTATTGTTACTGCTTTGCAGTAAACCATACTATTTCCTGTTCTTACCAAAAGACTAAGAATGCTTAGCAACAGTCTTATTCTTCTAAATCTCTCTCTGGGTGATAAAGTATGGAAATTAAATTGACCAAATTTCTGTATTTAAAGGTTCTAGTTTAATGTCCACCAATGTGAAACACTCATGTGAAATTTTTTAAAAAGCAACATTTTGGGGACCAGGGAGATGGCTCAGTGGAATAAGCACTTGCCTGGCAAGTGCAAGGGCCTGAGTTCAATCCCCAGTTCCACCAAAAAACCCCCAAAATTAAAAAAAAAGCAACATTTTACTTTTGTTGTGATAAAATATCACATCTTAATAGATAAAATGTAGAATCCTGAAATACTGACACATTCTCTTATCATGTCATGTGAAATTTAAAGGTGAACTGCATTTATCTCATTACACTGGCTTCAGAGGTAAGACAGATGGCAAACATGGCCTATACAGGGGCTTCCAGGTGATGTTCTGCTTTCTGCTACAAACACTAGATATTCTTAGCAGTGGACTTCCACAATAGAAGCCACTATTAGTGTAATTTAAGAGCATAGTGGTCTGTTTTAAACTGATTCCAAAGGTTTGAAAAAAGCCCTAATCGATTTACAAGTGAATGTTAAATTTATAGTGACTGCAATCAAACACTATTTTTCTGACATATGCGTTTATAGGACTCTGCACAAATTTTTTTCTAAAATGGGGCTGTATTATTATAAATTTTCAAATTATTGTTCTAATACATAAAACTGAACTGTTGTGGATTAACTAATAGTCAACTTGTAACACCCAGCTGAACTGAGTTGGCATGGTGCTGGATGTGGAAGGCCCACATGAAGATTAGTGCCAACAGCACAAAAAAACTGGAGAGGAAGATGGTGTGCTGTTGATTCTCCTGGAGAAGCCTGTCACACTGGTTTCCCGGTACTACCTTGGCAATTATAGTGGGAGCTCAGGTCCTTGCTGTTGCTAAGCATAGATGCAGTTCATTTTGAAGTTCTGGTCCGTACTTTAAAAAACATCTTAAGTCTCTACCAACAGTAAGAACACTTAGCAACATTCTTGCTCTAAATCTCCCCTCTTTAGATGATAAAGTATGAAAATTACTTTGAGCATCATTTTCCTGGCTCCAGTGCAGATCCCTCGGCCTGCTGGCACACATCCTCCATCCTGCTGGTATAAGACCTTTTAGCTTCCACCACTGGCCTTCAGGTCTTTCCAGCGTAGATCCTTGATAAAGAGTTGCACGAGACATTGTCTTGGGCTCTAGGCCTCCAGCTGGACTCATGGAGATCACCACAATGGCTCTATGTCTTCAGCTGGACTAATGCGGGGTACTGCCATTGACGTGGGATCTAAGCCTTCAGCTGGATACTTTAGGTTTCTAATATTTGGACAGATTGCTTGCACTCCACTTGACTTTTTGGTTGAATATTATAAAATAATTGTACAAATTATATCTCCTGTGTTAAATACATTCCCTTGGAAATTCTACAATTGTCTTCAACATCACTCAACTGTCTGATTTATTAGGACATAATTCACATACGAAATACACTCTATAAAGTTCAATTCAGTACATTTACAAAGTGTGCATCAATCTCCACTAATTCCTGCTTATCTGATTTTTAGATTTTTTTTAAAACTGGAAAAATGAAAGTGCAGTTCTTTTGCAGGTGAGATCCATCATTTTAAAATAGCAATTTATCAATCCAAGTAATCAGTTTTCACACAGTTTCAATAACAGCAGCAATTTCCTTGAACTGTCTATAGAAATTCTAGAAAGAAAAGGAAAAATATTAATTTTTTCAAAAAAATAGTCCTTTAATTACACTGACAAGGTGCTATGTGACATTATTTTTATACTATACCCTTAACTATTAAAAGTTGCTATGAGAAACAAAGAAGTACTATTAGCAAAAATAATTACAGTAAAACTGGGGTAATTAGCTTGAGTAAATCTTTTCAAGCAGATGAGAAAATTCCTTTCTAATATCACATCAGAAGTCAAATGTGTTGGTACACACCTGTAACTCCAGCACTGGGAGGCTGAGGGAGGTAGAAAGCAAACTGAGCTGATCTTGGGCAACTTAGTTAGCCCCACCTAAAAAATTTTACAAAATAGGCTAAAGATACAGCTCAACTTGAAGACCCGAGGTTCAGTCCATGTACTATTAAAAAACCAACAAATGGAGGCAACAGAAGAGTTGAATGGTGGTTGTGAGGAACTGAGAGTGGGAAAAAATGGGACACTGTTGGTCAAAAGGTACAAATTTTCAGATATAAAAGTTCTGAGGTACAATATGGTAATAACAGTATAATGTTTATTTGAAACTGCTGAAAGATTTTAAGTGTCTACATAACCCCAACATGCATTTACTATACATGATAATAGTGTTGGTTTGGTTGTAGTAATCATTACATACTACATACTTTTATCTCATCATTTCATTGTACACCTTGAAAGTAAAGAGTTTTTGTCAATTACACCTCAATAAGGCTGGAGAAAAAGGATTGCCCATTTCTATTTTTTCCTATAAGAAAATCTAGAGGTGGAAATCAGAAAGAATGAATGCTGCACAGAATGGTAAGAACACCAGTAGTTGTAAATTACAAAAAAGGACTAAAACGTATATCCTATTTTTAAATTGATTTGGTCTTTATATTCAATTGAAGGCTACTTATATATCACAACACACTATAATCCCTTTACCCTAAGTCCTTCCAAAAACAGTAACCTACAGTCATATTTTTGTGATTATTTTTGTTTTAAAGCAAAGATGTTTTAAAATAAAGAAATCAAAGGAACAGAGATCTCTTAAAATTCAGTGCTCAAATGTTACCAGTTAGTGGCATGAGAAAGAGCCTTTTTTAAAAAAGAGATTGTTTCTAATTTTATAATTTACTTTTTTGTTTTGTGGAACCGGGGATTGAACTCAGGCCCTTGCGCTTTGCCAGACAAGCACTTATTCTACTGAGCCATCTCCCCAGCCCCTTATAATTTACTTTTTACTTAAAAAAGAAAAAAGGAAAAAGAAAGAATTCCTGTCTACTCAGAGGCTGGGGAAATAGCTCAGTGGGACAGCTACCTGCCTGGCAAGCATGAGGTCCCAAGTCTGATAGCCAGTGCCAAAAAACAGAATTCCTCTCTATTCATAGACTGAAGGGTCTAGAAATAACAAAAACAAAACATACAGGCCAGTTAAATTAATGACAAAATACCTCCTGGGATACCCATTTAAAGCAAAATCTGATTTATTCCCTTTTTTTCTCCTTGGTTACAAAAAAAGTAGTAAAATGATAATATGAATGGAACTCTCTAAAAACTATTAGTTACTTAAATCTCTAGCTAATAAAACTAGTCATTAGGTAAGGTGCTCTAATCTGCATTTTGTAAATATTACTCAGAAAACAGGGTCAACATTACTGAAAGATGATTCATTTAGCTTATGTGTTGATTTACAATGCCTAAAGGAAAAAGAATAAGTCAAATGTAATATCCAACAGAGAATATGAAAATATCCTCATAGACAACTGTTAAAGCAACCAAATGCCACAGTACACAAATTCATATTTTATTGAAAATAAAACAAATTTAGATCTTTTGTGTCCAAACACAAAACATCAATTTGCAAGTAAAAACAAAAATTTTCCTTTTAAAAGACTTTTATGTAGTTTTCTAAGCAGCATTTACAGAAAAATGTATTAAAATTCAATGAGTTAAACTACAAACCTGAAACTGTGGAATTGTCATCTCAAAAGATTTGTTCTTTACTTGACCTGAATGGTCTGCCACTTTCAGCATCACTGCAACGTAAGGATACTTAAGAGATCTGCAACTGTCTGAGCTCACAGCCATCCCCAGTTTCCACTGAAAATCTATAAGCTTTAATACAGTAAAAAACAAAACATTAGTAATAATACCATTGCCTTGAATGCAGACATGCATTCAATTTTACAGCCCTTACTTCTGACCTTTATTTATTTATTTTTTTAAGAGTGTGGATGACTTTTTTATTTTTCAGAGTCAGTTTCTAGTGATAAAAAAAATCTGTGGATGGGCATGTCAAAAAATTAACCCTGTAAAGACTGACAATGATAAACTTCATCTCTTTACTAAAGTTACAAGCATTTCCTTCCATTCTTTAGGCTTTTTATTTATGGTATGATATGTAATACCAATGCCATTAATATAAATGCTCTATTGAGATAACTATATTAGTTTTTTATTAAATTCTTATACTTAATTTTAAAAAATCATTTCACTGAAATCCAAGTTATCCCTGTCACCTTATCCCAGTACAATGTAAGTTTTTTATAGAAATATAACAAAACAAGATGGCTTCTGATATATTAGGAAACTGACCTGAGATTTTTAAATTCAGTTCATTAATTCATACTTGCCCAGCAGTTCTGCTCTTCACTTTTTTCCCCACAATTTTATTGAGAAATAAATAGCAATGAGACAGTTTAAAATCAAATTGGTAGGACAGTTCCAATAATTAACACATTGCACAGTCTTCCTAGTGGTTATTTGCTGTACAAGATGTAGACATGATATCTTATTTACAAACACTATTAGAACAAATCCCTCTATTCACTGAATTAAGAGAATGTAGCTGTGTATCTATCCTAACCATTTTGAATACACAGAAACAAAAATGGTCATTCATCTGTATCCCCTTTTTTTGTTTAGTTCCGTCATTTAAATATTATAGGTGTGTGAACTCAGCAAAATATTCCAAAATAGTACAGTAGTCTGTAATAGTATTGGGTCTTCTGCTTGACTGGCAATGTCAGAAGTTGTTGACCTGAGTCCCCTACAGCTGAACATAACAACATGGCTTTACTACATTTGACCTTTAGTTCAATGCTGGTCAAAGAAAATTATCCATTTGTATTTGTGTGTGTGTGTGTTTAGGATGGGATAGTCAGACATATAATTGAAGTAGAAGATGTGACAAAACTGTTTTTAAAAGGCTTACATTTTTCTCTGGCACTTCAGAGGACTCCAGATGCTTTGGAATATCTTTTACCTCACCTTCCTGTTCCACATGTCTTTCCCCATTCTACATCCCAAAGTACTAGGATGGAAGACGAGTTAAGTCATCCATTCCAGTTTCTTTCTTCACCATGGACCTCAAGTTCAACCTTTACATTAACATTAGGTGGTTTTAGATTTCATCAGTCTTTGTGATACATGCATGTCAGGTGATGGGTTATGCAGTGTACGTGCATTAAATGCCTCTCTGAATCATCATCACATTACAGGTTATTATTTCCATTTTGCAGATGACAAATCTCAATGTCAGAGAGTTAAGGTAATACACACAAGGTCACACATTTCTGAAATGAGAATAAAAGCCAAAATCTGACTCCCAAGATTACATGTTTACTGGTTGCCTCAACACTCTTCAGTTTTTGTCAATGACTGGTCAGTGCTGCCATGGCATAAAACAGGACAGGATGCAGCTCTTCTAAAACATAGACTGTGGGTACAAGAATTCTCTCTTATTTCCAAAGCTTAAGGAGGTGTCTGATGCAGGCACTTAAATAATACTTGCTGGCTGACAGATGCCCTTTGCTACCAAACTAAGCTTACCCTGTGATCTCATTATTTGACTGACCTAAGAATTGCTGATTTGTCAGTTTGTCCAGTTCCTGTTAGGACAAAGTAGTAACTTCAAAATGCTGTATAAGCTGGGCCGGAAACTAGAACTTTATTGTTTTCATAATTTTCTTCATAAAGGTTTAAAACATCTTTTGCTGGATTTATTGCAAGATAGGTTATAATGTATTTTTTAATGTTGTGCAATCTTGTTTAAAATAATATATTCCAACTCTGTGTTGCGATACAATCAATTCAAAACACTTACAGCTATTTTGTCAAATAAAAACATTATAGTGTGTCCTTGTCTACTTTATTTACAATAGCTGGCAGCCTGTAATTCTGGGCTCTTGCCAAAAATCAGCATGATCATGAAAGGAAAACACTTTGAGCTGATTCAGAACATCAAGGCAGCCATGACAGCACAATTAGACAGGAAAAAGGTCTTCCAGAATTGCTTCAGAAAATAGAAAGAAAAACACAGTATATTCCAAGCAAGAAGTATTTCGATAAATGGGAGATTAAGGATAGAATGTCTTTTACTGTAATAAAATTTTAAAATTTGACTTTTTTTCGTAGAGTGATTTTATTTATTTATTTGGCAGAACCGGGGATTGAACTTAGGTCTCTGCGCTTGCCAGGGAAGTGCTTATTCCACTGAGCTATCTCCCTGGCCCCTAAAATTTTAAGTTTTTTTTTTTTTTTTTTTTTTTTT